CATTTACAACAGCGGACTACAACCGCCATCCATGATCTTTATACACAGGCCACTCAACGGCCGCGAGGAATTCGCCAATGAAATTCAGGGACGGGTTCTGACTGAATCCATCAAGGTTGACCTTAAATTCTTCCTTGCTGATCTTTTCTTCTCGCCATGGACCGCGTAAGTTAGGTTCCTTTTGTAAGAGATCGACCACGCTTCGCGCCATTTTCGGAAGCGAAGGGGGAAAAATTGAAGGTGGTCCCTTCCGCTCCTTGCGAACTTATTAAGTTTCCCTTTTCCTTTTTTTCATGTTTTTCTTTTTTTCTGCCCTTTGTCGTTATGGTGATGCTTGGTGAAACTGGCGGAGAACCAAACTATTTCGTCCAACCGGCAGCCGGACTTTCAGCCCTTTCTCCGCCTTAGCTAAACTGATCTCGAGAAATGCGCTAACAAACGGGAAATAAAATGGAACGGAGGAACTATCAAAGTATGAATCGATGTAGGCCAAGGCCAGATTGTTACTTTCACAGTATGAACTCATCCCTGGATGAGGTGGAAATGCTTCTCGTTCCGGCTCTGCGTTCCTCGTTAAATTCCATCGTTTATTCGACTTCTCATTTCCCGTCTTGTTCTCTGGGCAGAAGAAGGTATAGAAACCCCCCTTATCAATATTCTTGGCTTCAAACCGAGCCGAGAATTTTGGTCAAGCTTCTCTGATTGATTTCCAATACATAGCTTTGATAAGAAACCGTCGAAATCTACGGAGTATGAGTGACGTAGACACTTTTTTTTAAGGCTTTTTACGTACAGTATCCATTTGTGGGAACGACAAATGAACAGTAGATCAGGGGCATCTTGACCCCAACAAAAAAAAAAAAAAAATAGAAAAAAAAAAAAAAAAAGTCGCGGGGAGTTTCGGTGAGAATTAAATGTAACCCCCGCGTATAGAGAGGATGGTTCAAGGTTTAATACTTCCCAACGGTACGTTCGTCGTCAGACCAAGCTATACATTCACAACTCAACCACCAATAGGCGAAACCATTGCGTCGTTTTATATAGGACGCAACTGCACATGGCGGTTGAGCATCTAGGTATGGCTAATACGTCAAATGATAAGGGGATGTTCTCCGGTTTTAATATACGTGCGTACATTCCCGCGCATGATCTGGCTCAATGAATATTCTAGAAACCACAATGGGTGACAAACAGGCGCAAACTGCCGATTCCAACAATCATCAATATCGTACATATCCATACCCCATGTTGGCTGGGGAATTGGAAGCCTTGCACGAGTGGTTCCGACCATCTTTATATGGCTGGGCATAGTGTGCTGAGAATCCAGTCAGCCTGCCCCAAGCACCAGCGAATGGACGACATCAACTGTAAAACTTTTTATTTCAATTTCTGATCGGAAGGACTTGGATACACAAATCTCGATGTTCAGGGAACAGATCAGATTATCATTTCGTCTTGTTGTTATTCTAAAATCCCTTCAACCCCGGCCTCGCCCATCACGGAGATTGGCGTTTGCAGAACCATGAGGCCCTCTGGTCCTGTACAAGATATATACTCTGCCAAGGGGAGTAGAGATAGAAAGGAGAATATATATGCTCTCCCAGTGATGGCAAAGCAGCGACCTTCCGAAAACCAGCGAAAACGGAAATCAAACAAAATCGAAGAGTTAAGCGGAATGAGTTTCTCAACAACCCAGACCGTTCATCTCCCGATTTCTCTTTATCTCATTCCACCTCCACCCCCCCCCCCCCCCCCCACTTTTTTTTTCTTGAGAAGAAGAACACATCTCCCCGCGTTGCCCCCAAATACCAAAAGGTGGCAATACAATTTTGAGGTGGTGCTGAATCTTCGAAAGGAAGGAGTTTGGGAACAAAGGGACAAAAAAAATTAACAATTGGATGAGAAATTGAAAA